ACATAACGGGATTTAAAAATTCATGGTTGATCTTTACATTATGGTAACTTGGCGTTTTTTTGGCGACCAACTCTCCTACAGCAACCCTCTATTTTTTTTTTCCTGCCGCCATTTGTCTTCACGAAGTAAAGACATGTTTCTTTTTTTTTTTTTTTCTTTTTATCTACGAATCTACTGAACACTTTTCAACAACAATTACTAGCCGAATTACACTTATGCTAGAAATTTTATCAAACAAAACTGCTTAGTCATGACAATATTCACAGCAAATTGGGAAAAAGTGTGCACAATACCATATCCCTTACGCGTTTTTCAAATACACACATACACATAAACCATGTACACGCCGACTTATTTTTACTTAAAAAAACATCCCAGAATTGCACAAAAATGGCATTGCGCACACTCTTCACTATATCCATGTACACTGCTTTTTTCTCATAAATTAGAAAAATTTCACGAAAGTGCATGACAATTTTCTCAATCTTTAAACCCGGTAAAAAGAACATATATGAAATTACCTGATCACGAAAAAGTATTTACCCTTTCCAAATATGAACATTTCCACATATAAAATAAATAAAATATCCAAAAACTTTTACCTCTAAATCATCTATTATATTATAAACGTCACCAACGAATTCATACCGCAACCATTACAAATACTTAGTGTCAAATATTTAAATTATTTCCATGCACGTTTACGTCAACTAAAACGTATACCAAATTCCTACAAACATAAAATTCACAAAATAACTATCATTTAATTAAAATATCACTAAACCATGTACACATCGACTTATTTTTACTTAAGAAAACATCCCAGAATTGCACAAAAATGGCATTGCGCACACTCTTCACTATATCCATGTAAACTGCTTTTTTCTCATAAATTAGAAAAATTTCACGAAAACACATGACAATTTTCTCAATCTTTAAACCCGGTAAAAAGAACATATATGAAATTACCTGATCGCGAAAAAGTATTTACCCTTTCCAAATATGAACTTTCCACATATAAAATAAATAAAATACCAAAAACTTTTACCTCTAAATCATCTATTATATTAAAACGTCACCAACGAATTCATACCGCAACCATTACAAATACTTAGTGTCAGATATTTAAATTATTTCCATGCACGTTTACTTCAACTAAAACATATACCAATCTCCTACAAACATAAAATTCACAAAAAAAAAAAAAAAAAACTGAAATGTTTCAGATTTTAAATTACGTACAAAGGGACGTTTTTTAACATTTTGTGTGTTACCTTTCTTTATTAAATATCATGTTCCTCGCACTTAAACCATAAGATCCAGTGCAACAGCAATATCGCAAAATAGTTTTAAAACGAGCATATCTTTAGAATTTCCGATACAGAGACTCACGCGCTGGAGATAAAAATGTTTTTTCTGCACAACGTTGCCATTGCTCGCTTTGAAATCCTTGAGTTTGTTAATCAAAAATTCGTCAAAGTTTTAAAAAATAGGAAATCGATCATAAAACAAATTTCAAATTTCAAATTTGGTCTTCCACATGCTCATATTCGTTGGAGGATTACGTTATTCAAAATTCGATGACTCTATGTACCGTTGTTTTTTATCACAATACGAGAAATATACATACATTTATGCAGATTTTTCATTATTTAATTTTTCTTCAAATATAATGCAGGACTCTAACTTTTGTGGCAACAGTTTGAAAAGTGAACCGACATTTATGAGTCCGACGCAAAATGCCCAAAACGAAACTAATAGTCCTTCGGGATTCAAATCCCTTTGGACTAATAACTATTATTTAATTAAAATATAATTAAATTCAAAAACACTACTTAAAATATAAATGAGCACATACATTAAATTAATAAAAATTACCTTACAATCCTAATTACTTTAAACTAAATCATTGCTAATAACAATTTTCCCAATACCAAATTCCTTTACTTCCACCTTACATTTAGAACAATGCATAAAAATAATATCCTCAAGTAATTAAAAATACTAACTTACCTAATCTTCTTCAGACTTGATTACGTGTCCGATAAACTTTTCTTCTTTCTGTTTCAGGATCTTTAAAATCATACTTATATTCACAGCAAGGTACCAGGTAAAATAAATAACTTAATAAACATCTTTTATTTCTATCTCGCACAACCTTAAAGAAACATTTATTACTACCCTTTTCAATACCACTAAATACCCATTTCGAATTCACTTTAGTTACGGCCATGGGATCCAAAAATTCACGAACACTGTTTCACACAACACAGAATAAAGCCAAATACAAAATTTCCAGATTTTTTCCCGATTTCCCCCCTTTTCCGATTAAAGAACCGTAATTCGTCCATTAATATCACATGACATATCCCATGATCTCTCATTTCCCTCACACAAATAATGCGTATCGGAACTGAGTACTGCTCACATTATTACCAAAGTCCCAGGTAGTAACCTTTATCGCCTCCAAAATGTCGCCAAACTACCAGTTACCATATCGTAAAGATCAACCAAAACCTCCTTCCCAAGAATACAACAAAAAATCATATGCACTTGAAAGCCTCCGTTCGGTTTAATCCTAGTATCCGGTGCACACGGGATTTAGCTACTTTATTATGAGCAGTAAAAACGAGACATGAGTAGTCAACGGGTCATTCAAGATACATAGTATAGTGTAGTATATACATACACACATACTAGTATATATAGACGTCCTTTGGATAAATTTTGGTGTTGGTGATAATTTTCAAAATCGCGCCAAGGCTGCACCGTATACTAGGATTTTCAATTCGTATACCGTATAATCAATTCGTTTATATATAGCCTTAATGACGCATTAATCTCGAAATTAAATAAACGTATTTTTCTCTTGTTTAATATTATTTTTTCTGAATTTTTTAACGAATAGATAGACATATTTTCGTAGATAGATGCCGGTTCTCGGTTCGGGATGAAAGGAAGAAAATACGGCGGGGAGGGGTGAGATTACTATGAATTAAGACTTGTAACAATTAAAGAAAAATTGGTTGATCTTTACAATATGGTAACTGGTAGTTTGGTGACATTTTGGAGGCGATAAAGGTTACTACCTGGGACTTTGGTAATAATGTGAGCAGTATTCAGTTCCGATTACGCATTATTTTGTGTGAGGGAAATGAGAGATCATGGGATATGTCAGTGATATTAATGAACGAATTACGGTTCTTTAATCGGGAAAAAATCTGGAAATTTTGTAGTTGGCTTTTATTTCGGTGTTGTGTGAAACAGTGTTGTTAATTTTTGGATCCCATGGCCGTAACTAAATTCGAAATGGGTATTTAGTGGTATTGAAAGGGTAGTAATAAATGTTTGTTTAGGTTGTGCGAGATAGAAAGAAAGATGTTTTATTAAGTTATTTATTTTACCTGGTACCTTGCTGTGAAATATAGTATGATTTTTAAGATCCTGAAACAGAAAGAAGAAAAGTTTATCGGACACGTAATCAAGATTCTGAAGATTAGGTAAGTTAGTATTTTTAATTATTTGAGGATATTATTTTTATGCATTGTTCTAAATGTAAGGTGGAAAGGAATTTGGTATTATTGGAAAAATTGTTATTAGCAATGATTTAGTTTAAAGTAATTAGGATTGTAAGGTAATTTTTATTAATTTAATGTGGTGTAGTGTGGTGTATTTAATTATGGCAAAGCACACTAGGGCTATCTGCCTAAGAGGAGGGATGCCTCTCGTGGAGGACTTTCTAAGGGAAACTGGCTCGTATACACGTTACACATGGGGAAAACCACGAAAACACCCATGCAGCCAGCCCGTTCGCGGGATTCGAACCTCGGACCGAACTACCAGTGTTCAGCGACTTTACCGCTCGGCCGCTGGTGGGCCTATTAATTTAATGTATGTGCTCATTTATATTTTAAGTAGTGTTTTTGAATTTAATTATATTTTAATGAAATGATAGTTATTTTGTGAATTTTATGTTTGTAGGAATTTGGTATACGTTTTAGTTGACGTAAACGTGCATGGAATAATTTAAATATTTGGACACTAAGTATTTGTAATGGTTGCGGTATGAATTCGTTGGTGACGTTATAATATAATAGATGATTTAGAGGTAAAAGTTTTTGGATATTTTATTTATTTTATATGTGGAAATGTTCATATTTGGAAAGGGTAAATACTTTTTTTGTGATCAGGTAATTTCATATATGTTCTTTTTACCGGGTTTTAAAGATTGAGAAAATTGTCATGCACTTTCGTGAAATTTTCTAATTTATGAGAAAAAGCAGTGTACATGGATATAGTGAAGAGTGTGCGCAATGCCATTTTTGTGCAATTCTGGATGTTATTTTAAGTAAAAATAAGTCGGCGTGTACATGGTTTATGTGTATGTGTTATTTGAAAAACGCGTAAGGAGTATGGTATTGTGCACTTTTTCCCAATTTTGCTGTGAATATTGTCATGACTAAGCAGTTTTGTTTGATAAAATTTCTAGCATAAGTGTAATTCGGCTAGTAGATTGTTGGAAGAAGTGTTCAGTAGATAAAAAGAAAAGAAACATGTCTTTACTTCGTGAAGACAAAATGGCGGCGGGGAAAAAAAAATAGAGGGTTGCTGTAGGAGAGTTGGTTGCCAAATTTTCGCCAAAAAATCGCCAAGTTACCATAATGTAAAGATCAACCGAAAAATTCAACAATTTCGAAACCCACGTGATAGGCTTAGATATGCAAGTAATTTAAGAAAATAGATTTAAAAAAAAGTTTAAATTGATATTTTTTTTTAAAAAGAATACCTGCTACTACGGATATTTTCACAAAATAATTATTTGAGTGCTAAATAAATATTAAGACGCTTAAATAAAAGGATTGAGAATGATTGATAATGCAGCATTATATTAGTGGAAATTAAAATTACACTCATAAATCGCTTTCTTTGCAAATACAATGAAGAAATCTCTTGTCAACTGAACAGAAACTAAAATAATAATTAAATAATTAAAAACTTACATGAACTATGCAACTGAATAATATCACCTTACCAATCTTCGAAAATCGACGATATGAAAAGGCTAAACGTTCTTTGATTCATTCAAAAGCACGCGAAAAGAGTGTTGCCATACAAGATATATGGAAAAGGTAACTATTTGAAATTATTTGAAACTATTTTAGCGCCAGATGATAGCATAGTTGGGTTTGTTTTTTTTTGTTAATTATGGCAAAGCACTCGAAGGTATATAACGAACCTATATAACCCGAGGGTAAGGCCAAAGAACGTCTATGTACGTAACAATACATATTCTTTAGTAAGGCTCTTCTTCGAGGCCTATCTGCCCAGGGGAAGGCCCACGGGTGTCCCGCTGGAGATATTTTGTTATCCCACATTTGGACTTGAAGAATTTTGAGAAATTTTGATTTCAAGAAAAATTGCCTTGTCAGTTTTTGTCGTAAAAAAAACTTTTTTCTCTTATTCTTTATATTTAAAACATTTTATTGACATGCCTGATATTTGAGATAACATTTTCTAAAATCACGATTTTTTTTCAAAAATTTCACTTTTTCTTGTGTAATTTATCTTATGTAATATTGTTCCAACTCAACTTCAATTAGAATTTATAGATTTACAGCGTAACTCTGCAATAAAATGCAAGTTTCTTGAAATTCCTATATTAATTGATTTTTATTCGAAGCATGTGACCGAAGATAAGTATCCAGGAATTCGTAAACATCCACTCTTCATGCCTTCTATCTTTTATAGTATCTACATATGTGAACATCTTTTTTTGAAAATCCTAAAATCAAAACCAAGAGCACGAGTGACAGACAATCATTTGAAGGAAACTTTACGATTTGCAACAACACAGATTTAACCGGATATTGAAGCTTTAATCAAGTAAAACAATGTCAGATTTCACATTAAAACTAAAGTAACTACCATCTCCTGCCTGTAATGTAAGTTTTTTTTTTTTTTTATTTTTATTTTTTTAATTGCAAATGCATTTTGTAACATTGTTCTGTATAATCATCTTTATACTTTTTTTTTCATAGTTAAAAAAGGTTTAAAATATTTTAATTCGATTTCCATCTGACTTTTTGAATATAAATAAATCTGTAAATTATAATTAAATCTGTAACACCAGTATTTTTTTAAACCAATATACAGGGTGATTATAATTAAAGTTTAAGTTTCAAAACGCTATAGAAAAAGAACCACTCATGAAAATGACGCCAAATTTGAAAGGAATGTTATTGAAGAAGGCGGAAAGCGTATGGCAGAAGAAAAATTTAGTTTCAAAAGTTAGCAACAGATGGCGCTGCAAGCGGAAGAAGACAAATTAAAATGTTAGTTAAATTTCAGTGTTATAAAACCAGGTACCAGGCTGTTTCCTCATTTCGGTCCAGACGTTCGCATGGGTTGTTCCTCATACCGCGCTCTGCTGGAGCTGTACAAGAATGATGATTGTGCAAGAGTAGTTCTGCAAAAATTCAGGACACTAAAGGATATAGAAGAAGGCGTTGGTCCAATGAGTGTCGTGGATCTAAAGAAAATAATGCAAAAATTCAAAACGACAGGTTCGTTTGATGTGTAATCTGGTAGAGGGAGAAAACGAGTGTATTCGACGGTAGTTGAAGAAATGGTCACAGCATTACAGGAGGGGTCGGCCGGTGGTGTGCAACAGTGCAATGCACGAGGAATTGCCGGAACACTAGACAGGCCTACGAGCACACTGCTGAAAATTGTACGAAACATCCTGCAATGCTATCCGTACAAATTGGCCATGTGCAGGAGTTGCTTCCGCCTGACCTGACAGCTAGGAGACGTTTGCGTTAGAATTCCTGGCTCGCATGGAAGTGGATAATGAATGGCCGTGGAAAATTTTGTGGAGAGATGAAGCCCATTTCCATCTGACAGGATACGTGAATACCCAGAATTGTCGAATATGGGGCAACAGAAAATCCACTGGCAACGCACCCCGTACCACTTCATCCTGAAAAGGTCACGGTATGGTGAGGCTTTACGGCATCATTATCCTACAAAACCATATTTTTTCGAACAGACGGGTGCTTCCGGTCCTGTTACTGCAACCGTCACTGGTCAGAGGTATGCGTCTCTTTTGCGCAACCACGTGATTCCAGCTCTGCAACAGCGTGGATGTGTGGATGAAATCATTTTTATGCAAGATGGCGCTCCTCCGCACATTGCACATCCCGTGAAGCAGCTGCTGAGGCGCCATTTCGGAAATGCTCGAATTATCAGCCGTCATTTCCCTACAGCCTGGCCGTCCCGATCGCCTGATCTTACTCCGTGTGGTTTCTGGCTGTGGGGATATCTGAAGGATGTTGTGTTCCGTGCTCCAATTGCAAATTTAGCGGAATTAAAGGCACGCATTTCGCAACACATTCTGAACATCACCCCGGAGACACTGCGATCCGTTGTGGAACATGCTGTTTGTCGCTTTCAACTTGTTGCACACAACACCATATTGAACATGTTTTGTGCCAGTCTCGCGACAGTTCCGAACTTCTTTGATGAATGGTTCTTATGCGGTATGTCGCCGCAAAACTCTTGAAACCGATTTGTCCCTTTCGATGTGATATGTACAGTCATGCAAATAAAATTATTCACAATTCTAATTTGTCAATGCATTTTTAATGTGTAACTTCCACCTTAGCCGTTGTTTTACGAATCGCTTCTCGTTCTCGTCTTGTTTTGCCGCTTACAGCGCCATCTGTTGCTAACTTTTGAAACTAATTTTTTTCTTCTGCCATACGCTTTCCGCCTTCTTCAATAACATTCCTTCAAATTTCACATCATTTCATCAGTGGTTCTTTTTTATAGCGTTTTTGAACTTAACTTTAATTATAATCACCCTGTATAATATATATATAATATAAATGAATCTGTAAATTATAATTAAATCTGTAACACTATCTCTTCGCTTAGAATCCATTGTAGTTTTGCAAAATAAACCTTCCTTTTTTATATAAATTTTCTGACTACATTATTTGTTTTGACAGATATGTGGCCTGCGGATCTTTGTGAATTCATTGACGGCGTGAAAGGTTGAAGACCCCTAACTTAGTGGAAGATTGTAACATGGTATTTTAACAAAAGGACATCAGATATTAGGAAAACCGGATATTCTTCGGAGCACAGCCCTAGTTGCACCAACTTGGCGTTTGTGTCATAAATGCACAATACTTGACTTTTAATGCTAATTTAGCAATATAACAGAACCAAATTAGCAATCAGTTACCAAAATCAGACCTTAGATAACTCCCTTCTTATCGTTGACATTATAATTATCTGCAATGAATTTGATTTCAGCATTACTGCTTTCTTAACTTCCCATCCGAAATCTTGTCTCCGAGGTAAATGAAAAGGGAAAAAAAAAAAAAGAAAAAGAAAAGAAAAAAAAAAGGCTTCTTTTCATTCTTACTTGCAGTTCTTAAATTTCTACAGAAATTAGGACCGGAGTTCAACTTAGCAGTACACAATTTTTGAGATAAATCTTAATTTTTTTCAGAGCGCACGTGAGGCATAAATAAAAAGAACTCCGTCCTTAATTTTATTAAAATTAAACCACATTATTGTCAAAAAATTCTTTTTATTTCACAGTTAAGAATTGAAAATCCATCCTAACTTCTGAATGCATACTTCTGTTTCCCATGAAACAAACTGATTAAGATTGAAACTTTTAAGGAAAGGAAATCTCGTTCCACATGTCGAAAACTTGCCTTCCCTGAAGTCCAATAAATTTAGGACGGCTTGTTTGAGGATATTTAAATTTTTGTTATAATTCTAGTCGTGCCATCGTATTCGTTGATTCGATATCGATGGTTTTAATCATCTACGATTTATAACAAGGTAGATAAGAGGAATTGTTGTTTGTGTTCCTAAACGCTCGTTAAATGAATAACGAGTCTAATTTATTGAAATACTAAAATAAATTACTTGAACCCATCCAACACTATTGA